CGGGCACTTGCACTACATAGTAGTTTTGGATATAAAGGAGCTGTACAATTACCGTGTTACGTAGTCAGGGCGATACCATGTTGGGTTAACAAAACGGTGCGGCCTCTTGTTTGTTGTTAAAGCCTGATAATGTTTGTGAGGTACATTTTATCCCTTTTTATTTATCTAAATGATTTTACACACGGAGGTGGCGCTCTGTTTCCTTTTTGTTTTCTATGCTCGTGGAAGCCCCAGAGCCTTGGATGAGCAGCCCCTCAAGTCTGTGTGAAAGACTGTGATAAACTGTTCCAACTTTGAGTGTGCAACAGCAAGTGGATCGTTCAGCTGGCAGCCATTAGCGTTAAAGAAACAAGCGTTAAAGAAAACACTTACCCTAAGAGCCCATTCACCCCAGTTGCAGTGCGTTCCAGAGCGGTAGCTGCTGGAACGCACATCAATTGCACACTAAACTCCCCCTTAGTACTGGGGAGGTGGTGGTGCGTTCAAGTCAATGGCAACACATCCACTCCCCCGCCTGCAGTGCAATTGTATATGTGGCATAACATTGCCTGTTATGAGCATGCAGCATTTTTTTGCGTTCAAACTGGACCGGAACGCAGGCAATGTTTTGCCATGAGTCCGATCACGCTGCAGGTGGGGGAGTGGCTGGGATCAGGGGCATATCTGCTGCGAGTCGAACAAGGCGTTTGCCTCGGGCGGCAGATTTCAGGGGGGAGGCAAATGCCACCCCCAAAACAGCAAGGCGAGCCGGGCTGCACGAAATAGATCGGCATCGGCTGCCTCATGAACTCACAGGGGCGGCGAGAAGGAGGCGGTTCCAGCTTCTGTCGGGACGCTTGCGAGGCGGAGATACAGAAGAGACAGCAAGGAGGAGTAGGCGGGTCCAGTCACCGTAGCTTTGCTAGGGCGGCTCGTCACGAGGAGGTGCATAGAAGGAGGAGGCGTGGGCGGAGGAAGCCGGTCCCCGCCAGCACCGATCGGGTCAGTAAAAACATTGCTGTGCAGGATCGGGATGGGGGGGTCTGTGTGCAGGGGGAGATCTGTGGCTCTGCAGGCTGATGGGATGGGTGAGGGGGGTCAGAATGAAGAGAGCGTTTTAGTGTGTGGTTGCTGTGCGTTCCTGCAGCTACCTCTCTGGAATGCACCTATTGGTGTAAGTGAGCCCTAAACAAAGATTAGGACAGTCTGGCTAAATGCATCTGACCTTCATGTTTTCAGGTTTACATTCAAACATTTCGTGCAAAGGTCCGTCTTAACAATCGGCTCATTTTATAGCCAATACAGAAGCTCAACAATTGGAGCAAACCACGCCTTGCTACAGGCCCTTTGATGGTACCTTGGTGGGTGGGCTTCTGATCATGTGATCGTGGTGACAGCCAATTGCATGATCAGGAGCCCATTCTCCATGATTTGTAAACAGTGAAAGCTCAGCTGGATGGATGCACTGGCCGGGTGTCAAAGTGCACCTTTCTGCCACCACATGTTGTCTGGTCAGGAAGTAGTTAAAGTAAACAGTAGTGGAGCTGTTGCAAAAAAGGTTACATCAAGCATCACCCAGGATGCTATGGGCAACGGCTGGCTTGGCTTTCATAAACCAGAGCTCTTTGTAGAAGCTGTCACTGCTTGAAGATTTACAAACATTGCCCCAGGAGTCTGTAAACTGCTGGAAGGGGGACTGTTCTGAGTAACATGGAAGTGTACTGAGCAACAAAGAGCTTAAAATATCATTCACGGTTAGGATTCAAGGAGAGAGGGAGGGGGGGGGCGGCAGACTCCCACTCCCGCCTTTGTTTTGCCCCTGTGGTCAAACAATTGTTGATTTGCCTCCCATTAACTCTCAGAAAATGGGGCAAATGTTCTAAAAATTAATTTTCTGAAAGGAAATCCCACTGGGGTATGGTCAGTTTTAGTAGTGAGGAGTTGGAGCCCCCTGTTGGATTTGCATTGCTGTCTGTCTCCTCTGGGGACATCAACTTTGTGAAGAATATCCGCAGTTGAGTTGTCACCAGAGCCGAGATAGAAGGGAAGGGAAAGGCAGTGCAAGAGAATTGAAGTTGGGTAACGGTTTGCCTGCTACAGTTTCCTTTTTTCCTTTTTAAGTAAAACTGAATACAGGAACTATTTGGCTGCAGTGGCAGCCTCTGAACTGTTCTCATCTTACCTCCCAAGACAGTCTGTGACCTGGAACAAGCATGAACAGGAATAAAGTCTTGCTGGCTGCATGCTTGATCAGTCATTGACACTAGGTGCTAGGGATTGTCACTCCCTAAGTCATGTGACATTGCTTAGATCTACTAATTGGCTGCCTTACCCAAGCACTGTCAATGGACTATAAAGTATAAAGACACTGTCACTATGTTGTAATTGGATAAAGCGATGGTGCCTCTTTAAAAGAGAACTATGGAGTAAGTATTTTTCCGTATAGTTCTCTTTAGGGTCACAGGAGGACATATACTAGCATCCTCCTGTGACCCAAAGCTCAGTAATAGCCTGCGATATACTGTGAGCGCCACAGCTGAGATGTGAGTGACAGCTGGCTCTGCCTATCTACAGGCAGATCCAGCTGTGCCTGCCCCTCCCCGTTTGTTCCTCCAGTCAGTGCTGCAGGTTCGGGAGGGGGGAGAGAATCCCTGCGGGGAGCGGTGACTGACGGTCACCACTCACTGCAGGGAGACTATAGGGAAGTGAGTGGATCGGCGGCATGTTTCTGCTCACTTCCCGATCTATAGAGCTGACATGTGACAGCTTCTTTGTCACAGGTCGGCTCCAACTATGAGGATGAGTGGAAATCACTCATCTCACACCGTAGTTCTCCAAGCTAGCTAGGGCAACAGCAAGGGGCCATGGCGGATTGTTCAGCTTGGCTTATACAGGGCAGTCTGCTGCACTATTCATTGTGGCGATATGCAGTGATCCTCTTCCCATGGGAACACAAAGTTGTTGAGCACAGCTGCCTAACCTTTTTTTAGTACTGGGTATTAAAGTAAAGCCATCTCCGGCAAGGACTGCTTTGTGTAATGCTTTTAATGCGTGTTTAATGTGGGGCTGTCTGCCCGGACTTTAGCTAAAGTTGGAAGCAGGCATGGCAGGGACCCAGATATAGCAAAGCACTCCATGGGTCAGAAAGTTATCTTTAAGACTGGCTTATCTGCACCCCTGCCCGCCCCCCACACACACCACTGACCTGTGATCCTGAAGGTGGCATTTTGTATGACTTCTGAATGTTTTACTTTCTAGATGCTCCCTGGTGTGGACACTGCAAAGCCCTTGTTCCTGAATATGACAAGGCTGCAAAGATTCTGAAAGATGAAGGTTCAAAGATCCGGCTGGCAAAGGTAGATGCAACGGAAGAGTCAGAGCTGGCTCAGAGATTTGGTGTCAGAGGATATCCTACAATCAAGTTCTTTAAGAATGGAGACACTTCTTCCCCAAAAGAATACTCAGGTGACCAACTTGATGACTTTACACTTGATGACTTATCACCTAATTAAGTGATAAAGTAATATTGATTACTCCTAATATAATCTGTTAGAATGTATTAGAAACCTGTGCCCTGCTATGATTAAGATGCAAGTTGCAGCTTCTATGCAGAAAAGCTGACTGGCAGCAACTCATTTTTATTTTGTGCATCTTGGGCAGCTTGGGCTTGTTTTTTTTTTTGGGGGGGGGGGGGGGGTTTACTTGAGGGGGGTGCTTTCCTTAATCCAGACTGGCAGTGATGACCAGTCCCTTCATGTCTCTTCTCCCCTGCCCCTCTTGCCATTGTAGTTGTGTAGAATGCAGGACTGCCTGCCACCACTGTTACTGCAAGTGTACATGAGGGCCCTTCTGCATTCCAGGGTGGGAGAGGAGACTAGAGTGCTGGCTTCTGTGGGACTCCAGATTAAGGCGATTTGCTTCTGGATCCCCTCAGGCATAACTAACATCCTGCTTTGAATTTTGGGGTGGGGTTATTTTTAAAACTCCCTCTAAAGCCTAAACTTTGGTTTTAACACTTCATGGCTACAATTAGTCAGGTATTTGGCATCTGCCCCACTTGAGACCCTTTTACTTTTTATCTTCCTGTTTTTGTAGACAGCAGGAAGTGAGGAAATATTTGCAGTGCAATTATTCTCCCTTAACACATGTTACTGGAATAGTTTTTCTCTTCTGGTGACAACTCTATTTTGGAATTTCCCTCATTAGCACAGATTGTTAATCTCCCTAGTGGGGACAGCTGGCGATAAAGACATGTCAGTTGTAACGCCTTACTACACAATTAAAACTGAGAAACCAGTTTTGGCTTTAAATACACAATGCTCCAGAGTAGGGGCAGGCAAACTCTGGCTTCCAGCTATGGTGCAACTACAAATCCCATTAGGTATTACAAGACTCGCAGCAACAGGCATAACTCCCAGAGGCAGATGCATGATGGGATTTAGTTTGTAGAGCCAGTTTTTGAACGCTTTTAGAAAAGCAGTCTAGCGTTGGCTTTTGACTTTACTCATTCCTGAATATGCATTGTAGTGTTTGCATATCACTGCATATCATAGCAGTCTGGTTTACTTGCAGCTGGCAGAGAAGCAGCAGACATTGTCAACTGGCTGAAGAAGCGCACCGGCCCAGCCGCAGCCACCCTGAATGATGAGGCAGCTGTAGCAGCTTTAATAGCAGCCAATGAAGTTGTTGTTGTTGGTTTCTTTAAGGTAAGATACAAAAACATCGCCAGGCTTAAAGTGTGACTGACATTGTACAACTGTGACCAGTAGCAAACCTTTCCATGCAGTGTATGGAGCTTATATTAAATAAATTGGCACATAAACCAGGTAATGCAGAGCAATTTACCAGAAGACCTTTCTGGGCCTGTGACTTGTGTGATTTTTGTGGTCTGATGTTGTGTAATGCCCATCTATTGACTACATCTTGACACTAAGTTTAGAGCTCTGGGATGGGGAGAGGTGTGCTAGGTTTGAGAGAAATCACTTTGCAGGTCAGGTAGCATGCATTTTGTTTCATATTAGGTGGACTGTTCTATTGAATAGTTTGGTTTGTTTAAAAAAAGAGAATAGGTGAGGTATTGCTCTAGCACATTCTATCAACCAAATCAAATGTGCACTCTCTCTGTATATGATGTAACCAATTAAAATCCTTTAACATTTCTTATCCTCCCACAGGATTCAGAGTCTGCGCTGGCAAAGGCATACCTGCAGGCTGCAGAGGCAGTAGATGACATTCAGTTTGGCATCACTTCCAGCGACTCTGCCTTCTCCAAACATGAAGTTAAAAAGGATGGCATTGTTCTTTTCAAGAAGGTAAGGACAACGTATGGTGGTACAAATTAAGTGTAGGTGCTATTCAGTCGTGCAAAATAGATTGGTAAGTTGGGTGGTCATGTGTGGCTTCTATTAGCACAGAATTGATCATAGGGGTCAGCATGTATGAGCTTTGTATGTGGTGCTTTATGTTGGAACATCACTTTCTGAAGGCCTTGTTGGAACATGAAGAGCAAATGTGTTTAGTCTGTATAGTATATGTAGCAGCCATTAAGTTCTGCTTGGGCTTCAGTCTTGCAGTGTGCAGAGGTGTATGCAGGAACCAGTGGTAGTTCTGCCCAGTGATCGAAACAGAAATAAAATGGTGGGTAGAGAGTGGCATTTAGTGTGTATAATCTACATAGACAAAAACCTGCCATTTTTAGCTAAACAGTTTGAAGTAAGCTTGTGGACCCATTTTATTAGTGTTTTTGTTGTGGCCAGGCTGCATTACACTGGAAAGGCCAAGTGGCTTATTGATGGTAGCCCTTAGATATTCGTTTCAAAGGTAGCAATCAATACTGCAAGGCTACTGTTAATTTACATTGAGGGTGCACAGTTCTCCCATTTTAATGTAATGCCTCTATTTCTCTAGTCACCTTCCAGGACAGCATTAGAGAGATAGGCTCCTCCCACCGGAAACAGGAAACACATCACCCACACCTAGAATAAAAAGAGTACCAGCCTAGCACACCTCAGTTATTTTGTGTTTCCTCCGGCCGAGCAGGACATCGTATTGTTCATGCACGTGTTCCTGTTTTTGGCCTGCACTGACTGAATTCCAGGAACTTTCCAGGGAATGTGAGAAGCAATCTGTTAATTTTCTGCTAGGTCTGTCTGCTCTGTCATTGCTTCAGTGGCATACGATCCATCCAGAAGTCTTACATTTTAAAAGTGTTCACATTACTTCCATTACAGCTTAAACAAGGCAGCTTATTCTCTCATTCAATTTGTATTTGACTATATGAATCCTTTAGTCCCTGTAGCCAACAGTACAACCAGATCTGCAGCACTGCACTCCCAATATATCTTTGAGGACCTGTACTGTGGAAGCTATGCCCAAAGGCACACAGAGGACTAGTTGCCAGCATTACCTGTGGTCTCCCTATAGCTGATCATTTTCTATGAATAAGCCTACGGGTGAACATGTGAGAGGTTGTAGCTGGTTGGGGGTTTGCAGTGCTGGTATTTGCTGCTTTATACACTTTTATTCACTGTTCTGGATTTGCTGTGAATTTCAATAAAGTCTGAAGTATTGGAATTCTCTGGATAGTGCGGTCTGTTCGTATACTACTACATTCCAAGGTGGAGACGCACCTATTAGCTGCCATCAGGACTGCCGAGGTTCTGCTCTAAGGAATTGGAGCGGGGAGATTTCCTTTGGCTCTACATTAGATGGATCATGCTGCAAATGTACAGCCATGACTACAGTACAGAGCAGAATGACTTTCTAGACGATGGCCAATCTTTAATGGGTTTCAGGTCCACTTAAACACCATTTGTGAGATCCTTGTTTAGGGGTTCTGGGATGTTGTAAGACTAAACTTATCTTTTTTTTTATTTTTAGTTTGATGAAGGCAAGAACGTATTTGAAGGGGAAGCAACGAAGGATGAAGTACTGAACTTTGTCAAATCCAATCAGCTGCCTTTGGTTGTTGAATTCACGGAGCAGGTAAATCTTGGTGTTCATATTGCAATGTTTCTGGCAGTTCTGAAGGCCACCAAGGACCCTAATAGCAGATCTGAAAGTGCATGTGCTTGGTTGAGGTGCTCTATTACAGATGTGTATATAGCAGCACCGACAGCTGTACAGTGCTTTACATACTATTCATTTAAATCAGTCACTGCCCTCAAGGAGCTTACAATCAAAGATGTCTTACTTGCATGCATTCATACAAGGGTCAATTTAGACAGAAGCCAATTAACCTACCAGCATGCCTTTGGAGCATGGTTGGAAACTAGTGTACCTGGATGAAGTACATGTTTTGCAGCTGACATAAGATGGCTTTCTGCAGCCTTTAGACTTCTATTCTATGGCTTATGGTCAGCACCCACCAGAAAAGTGGACTATAAAATGCTACTTGTGGAAGACCTTAAGATGTTTGTTTTTGTTTTTTTTGGAATGATAAATGGGTCAAACCTTACCTCTTTGCTTTTTGCAGACGGCACCAAAGATCTTCGGTGGGGAAATTAAGACTCACATTCTTCTGTTCCTACCAAAAAGTTCCTCTGACTTCCAAGACAAGTTGGATAACTTCAAGAAAGCAGCCTCAAGCTTTAAGGGAAAGGTGAGTGAAATCTGGAAGGTACCGTCTGTTTGTGGGACTAGGGGAAATTGTATCTTGCCTGCAGTGGTAGGTCTCTCCTTTGGATGGACTGCTGGAACTTTATCTGTACCAGATGAAACTGTTCTCATTCTGAGGTCTTTCCTCTTTTACCAAGGTGTCTTCAGTATTTGGGAACTTGAGTGCTTTTTGCAATAATTGCAATGCTTTGTTGCTCTTGAAGTATAGAGCACTGTTAGCAGATGCATTTTGCCAATCTGGAATGCAAACATAGGCAATAAGGTATCTGACAAGTTCTAACATTTCTAATCTCTAATCATGTCCTGTCCTGATGCTTCACAGGAAGTGAGGGAAATTGTTATATGGAGACAGATGCTGCTTTCTCTACAAAGAGAGCTCTGCCAACTGCTATAAACGGCAGCTAAGGAGTGAGATTGAGGTAATTGGTTTGCTTGGTAAGCTTAAGAGACACAATGACTTCTCAATATTACTGCTCATTTGTGGCTTGGATTATATGCAGGAAACGGTTGTAAGTGTCCGCTTGTCTTACTGTTAATGCAGAACTTTCCTTTCCCAGATATGAATTGTTTGGCTGTGTGGTTAGAGTAAGGCTAGGACTTAATGTTCAGTGGCTGTATAATTAGCATGCAGGGAATATGCAATAAAGTGCCTCTGTCCAGGAGAAACCTAACTAGGTCCCCAGAGCTCCACTACAAGCACCCAGTGGATTTTAGAGCTGTGTAGCTAGGTAAAACAAGCCATGGGTGGGTAGGCAGTGTCTCTTGCAAGTTTCCCTGCTAAATATTCCAGTTTTTAGTTTTCCCTTTTAATTTTGAGAAAATAAGCAGGCAGGAAATATGGACATGAGCTATGTGTTGATGGGCAGAGTCCCTGCTAGATATAGAGTGACCTCTTGGTTTGGCTAACCTTTCTAGCCAACCCTCCCAGTTCTTTCCTGCTGGATATTGCATTTGTAGTGGACCTTTTTAAAATTTGAGAACAAGAGCAGGCACAATGCCAAAAAACCTCTAACGTCTACCTATTCTAAATACAATAACACTTTTTTTTTTCTCTCCTCCATAGATTCTGTTCATCTTCATTGACAGCGATCACACAGACAACCAACGTATCTTGGAGTTCTTTGGTCTGAAGAAGGAAGAATGCCCAGCTGTCAGACTGATTACCTTGGAGGAGGAAATGACAAAATACAAGCCAGAAAGTGATGATCTCTCTGCTGAGAAGATTAAGGAGTTCTGTGACAAATTCCTGGATGGCAAAGTCAAGGTAAGGAGCAAGACGGCAGCTGATCCAAGGAGGTTTTCTAGTGGTCTGTGCTATACAGTACCTCAGACAAAAACTAGAACAGGACGGCAAATTACATTCAGGGAAGATTTTGGCGGCCAACTGACACGTTTTTAAAAAAAAAACATGCTCCATAATGGAACACGCTATTCTGTGGGTTATGCTGACTGTAGTAAGCTCAAATATTAATGAGGCTGGATTGAGGCCTGTTGCATGAAAGAACGTGGGCCTTTAACAGCAATTTATATGATCTGAAAATAAAGTACACGTCCTAGGAATAACATGGAGGCTTCCACTGCTGATCATTTTAAAACAAAAGCTGCCTTGCTCTGTCTGGCTTCAATAACTGAATGACCGACCTGAAACCAGCATGGTAGTATAGTCACAGGAAAATCAGAATTCCTGATCTTGGAGTAGATGGTGCAATGGGAATGATGAGCAAAAAATTGCAGTGACGTGTATGCTATATCCCTATTGCTGAAATGCAGAACCTTCAGTGGGCCATGCCTTTTAATGATGCAGGCTGTTCAGAATTCAAAATGAACACCTGCTCAGGACTTCAGATTTTCCTTCAGGGCTCCTTTTCAGTCTTCCCATCTGATAATACATCTTGCTCAGGCTTGTATACAGAAAGCCTGTCTCAGATTGTTAGCTTTAGAAATGTGTGGAGAATCTAATGGAGCGCTCATATAGATGGATGTTGGAATGTAATTCTGTTCAAATGCATTCCTTGGAACACTGCTTTGCCTGGAATGCAAATGCATTTTGGGGGACAGGACAGTGTCCAAAGCAGGCCAAATGCAGCCTCAGAACTGAGTAAATTGAAGCCTGCTGACTTGTTTGGGTCAAACGTAGGGTAAGCTCTCGTTCTGAATGACGCAGGGAAAGTTAGTGCCAGTTCCAGGAAGCTGACCCTCCTGCCAAACATGTAAGATGCTGCATAACCTCTGGCTACTGTGTATTACAGAACTCCGATTAAAAGGAACCTTTGGGGGGGAGAAAGATTGAAGCTGCCACGCTCCTGCTTTAGTGTTGGCAGTTTTGATCCCCCATACCGACGCCCTTTGACGTAGAGTGGACTTTGATTTTATAGTTTTCTAAATGGCATTTGCAGTTCACGATTTGGCTTTGCATGTTGCCAGATACTGATTAGTAAGCATAGCCTACTAGGCACAAATCTCCTCAATCTGTTTCCCCCTCTAGCCCCACATGATGAGCCAGGATGTACCCGAAGACTGGGAGAAGAACCCTGTTAAAATACTTGTAGGGAAGAACTTTGAGGAAGTGGTCTTCGATGAGAAGAAAAACGTCTTTGTGGAGTTCTGTAAGTAAGATTCTGGACTGTGTGCTGCTTGTATGGCTCTTTAGTGTCAGCTGTGAATTGTTGATGTATTGTATGTTCAGATGCTCCATGGTGCGGTCACTGCAAGCAGCTGGCACCAATCTGGGACCAACTGGGGGAGAAATACAAGGACCATGAAAGCATCGTCATTGCCAAGATGGATTCCACAGGGAATGAAATTGATACTGTAAAGATCCACAGTTTCCCCACCTTGAAATTTTTCCCAGCTGGAACAGAGAAAAAGGTAAGATTAGTTTTATTGCACTTCTAGGTTTCAGTTAACCAGATGTTTATCTTGTCTGCTCTAGTTTTCTATTCACTTACAAATAAGATGACCTACTTTCTGCCTATGAAGTGTCCCAGTGATGCTCTTTTCTGGTGTATACTTGGACATTTATTTATTTGTCCTTGATGCTCTTGGATGCAGTTTCTCAGTTTCCAGGACTTCCGCCTGCAATATCTGCATGTTTGTGTGACGCATTTGGCGTTTTTTGCTTCTGTGTTTTCATACGTGGAGCGAAACCAGCCATAATGCTGGCTATTTTGGGGTGTCATTAAGAATGAATGGCACTGCAAGCACGTTTCCATAGAATACGCAGGTGAGCGGGGCATTATAGCAGACATGTCTGCCAAGCACCCGCTCCAGCATTGTCAGCTGTGGTCCTAGTCACTCTGTGGCCACACCTGACTTCATTTGGTCTTCCAAATTCAGAGTTTTCAGCCATTTTGATTGGCCAGCCTGGGATCATGCAACTCCTGCACATGGGCAGTAATTCATCCCAGGCTGGCAGGCAATAAGGAGCCTCTATTGCAGTCTCTTGCTATATAAAAAGCTTACCTGCCGACACCACTTTTTTTATTTTTCCTTTTACAAGGTTATAGTTCCACTTGAGACACAACACATAAATGTCTTTGCCTCTGTCTTAGACACAAATGTCTTTTTTTTTTTTTTTTTTTTTGGGTGGTTGTTTTTAATGGGGAGCGAACACTAGATGGATTCACAAAGTTCTTGGAAAGCGGAGGACAGGATGGAGCAGCTGATGAGGTGAGACATTTACTTATGTTAAAACAGAACTCCAGATATCTGGTCTAGTTTTGGATGGGGAGAGGGTCTGATTTTAAAAATTCATTGGAGAGTCAAACCCTTCTCTACCTCTGCAAATCTAGAAGAAAACATTGTCAAATATTTAGTCTTTTTACTCCATTCAAGAAAAAAAAAAAGAATGGGCAATGGGAGGGCCAAGGTGGGGTTAGGGGGGCAATGGGAGGGCCAAGGTGGAGTAGGGGGGGCAATGGAGTGGGTGGGTGAAGGGGCAATGGGGGTGGTTGTCTTAGAATAGATATGTAACAGTAATGCATGGTTACAAACAGCTTTTGGTTGTAGTAATGCAGCTTCCAGGGATGCTTATTCTGTCCCTCCCTGAAAAGGTGTCTCCTAGTATACATCTTCCAGTAGGGTACTTGGAACCATATTGTATAACTAAATCTCTTACAGCAATAAACCTATGTACAATCTTCCTGAGCAAGGGCGGGCAGTGGGTAGATATGAGCCACATAACAAATTCCTCACTGTGCTTTGTTTTGTAGGATTTGGAAGACTTGGAAGAAGCAGATGAGCCCGAATTGGAAGACGAAGATGACAAGCCTGAAAAAGACGAGTTATAAAAGATGGAGTTAAAACTGCAACAGCCAGAAGACACTAAGAGTGGAGGGGAGGAATGTCTGGGAATGTTTTACATTGTCAGAGCTCTAAAAAGCAGCCAGGGAAAATGCCATCAGTCTGTAAATGTTTTTTTGTTTGGGTAAAGGGAGCTTTGACTTTTTTTTTTGTTTTACGGTTGTCTATTTTTCACTGTGATGATTTTTTTTTTTTTAACACTCAGTTATCTGCCCTAATGTAACGTTTGGCACTTGTTGCTGCTTCCTGTATTGTGTTGTCCTGTCTTTATGTTTTTTTATTTTATTGTGAATGACATACTATAGATGGAAAGAATCATTGCATGGCTGGTGTCCCTTAAGGGCTGTCTTCATTCCCTCTGTCTCAGCCACTCTTAGATTAGATGCAATGAAAAAGCTGTACCTGCAGTGATGGGTGTCGAACTTTCCAGCACCGTTCTTTTTCATGTTGCCCTCCAGCGCCGGGTGGCGGCTTTCAGTATTTTGTGCAGCGTACAGTCTCCCTGGTACGATGACTCCCAATGGACAGCAGTCCCTCCAGTGGCACAGCCCTGTATTATTGCCGTTTTGTTCAGTCCTGTCTCGTCAGGACCCAGCCTCTGAGATTGCAACATATGACACTTTTTTTTTTTTCTTGTTTTGTCACTAGACATGGGCAGTTTTGAAAAATTTGATTCTGAAAGCATTCCATCATATTTAATTTGGGACGTGTTGGCCAAATAAATAATTTTAATAAAGTGTGGTTTTGTTTTCTAAAATCTGAATGACAGCAGTGGTCCTCCCCACTGCCTTTTCCAGGCTGTACCTGGAGGTTTCCTGTGTTTCCTGTGTTTCCTGTGTTTCCTGTGTTTCCTGTGTTTCCTGTGTTTCCTGTGTTTCCTGTGTTTCCTGTGTTTCCTGTGTTTCCTGTGTTTCCTGTCTATAAATCTGCTCATGTGTAATTTACATTTGTGAATGCAGTTGGACCTCTAACTGTTGGTTAGTTCACACCATCAGCAGTGCGTTCCGGTCCAATTCCAGACTGGAACACACTGTCCGCATTGTGGCCTGCTCCCTATTTTTTGCTGGGCAGGAGGGGGGCATTGAAGTGAATGGCACCGTAGCTGCGATTGCCTGCACGACAACCGCAAGGCACATTTGAATGCACTGCAGGCACAAATAGTGCTTGCAGCGGTTTGAATGCATGGAACGCACTGCAGGCACAATGTGCCTTGTGGGCAATCGCAGAGCGTGGCTACGGTGCCATTCACGTCAATGGCCTACCATGCCCCCTCCTGCCCTGCAAAATAGGGAGCCGGCTGCAGTGTATCGGACCAGAATGCACTGCTGATGGTATGAACTAACCTTCAATGTAATTAGACCTCAGATGCAGGTATTCTCTATCTGCATGGTTAAGATGTCTTTAAATTATTTTCATTCCTTCTAGTCCTGGAAAAACTTACATAACACTGGGCTGGAGCAAAATTAACCCTTGCAGTGGGGCTGCCCTCATACCTTGAGATTTAATGGCTTGTTTTGGTCTACTGGGGTGTAAAATAAAAACTTGCCTGACCCTTGGATCCACCTGCCTGCTGGACTGGTCCTTCCAGCCTCCCATCTGCTCTAGTTATGGAAGGTCCCTTGGTGTCAATGTCCAATACACTGTATTGGATGTAATGATTCATGTGTCCTCAGACCACTTGAGTAAAGGGAGAGGCTGTGGGGCCTTGTCTAGCTGCTGGGCAGGTGTGAGGTTCAGGTAAGTATCTTTTAACACACTAGACCAAAAGAAGCAGTTAACCCTTGCAGTGCAGGGTATCCCCACTGCAAGGGTTTGGTTCTGCCCAGAGGTCTTTCATATGGACCAGGCTTAGGGATTATGACTAACTGTAGTCTGTTGTAGAGATGGACAAATGGGGTCCTAGGCTAGGAAAGCTCTGACCCCCCCCCACCCCCAGCTGGGTGACACTGAATGTAATGGGTACAGTGAAGTTGCCCTATTTGTGTTAGTACTGGCATTACCCACCTCACAAGGTGTGCACACACCGCCTACCAGATAATCTTCCTTTGTAAAGTTACATGCAGGGAAAAATCTTTGACTAGTTGTGCCATCCCCCTGGCTGAATGTGTAAACGTAGACCCTAGGCTGTTTCGGTCCAGGTACCATTTGTGAATGATCCTGTTGTGCTTGGTGCATGTAGTGCCCAGTGTATGTTTTCTGGTGCTGTGGTACACGATGCACTATTCTGTGCTGCAAAGTAGATGTTCTATAAACCTTACAAATGAACAGGCTTGCAGGTAGTGTAATTAGTATAGAGATGAAGTTCCATATATTGTTAAAAACCTCCAACACAGTATTGCATTAAACCACAACTGTTAAGATGTGTTCCACTTGCTTTTGCTGTCTGTTTTGAGATGCGGTCTTAGTCAGGGTTGGACAGGTGTATTTTCAGTCCAAAGCTGCAGTGGCCTCCATCAAGATCCTTTTGTGGTCCCTCTTGAGTTCTATGGACAGGGATGCTGCGATGTAAACAGAGGCCTGCTAGTACAAGTCAACACTTGTTTGAAAGGTGTTACTGAAATGTATTAAAGCCAAGCAATATTTGATCATGTGCATGGTAGAAATACATTGCAACTAATAAGTGTGTTGGCTGCAGTGTTCTGTGAAACTCATTTATTCACCCTGTATAGTACAGTTGTGGCCAAAAGTTTTGAGAATGACACAAATTAATTTTCACAAAGTCTGCTTCAGCTTGTATGATGGCAATTTGCATATACTGCAGAAGGTTATGAAGAGTGATCAGATTAATTGCAAAGTCCCTCTATGCCATGAAAATGCACTTCATCCCCCCCAAAAAACCATTTCCACTGCATTTCAGCCCTGCCACAAAAGGACCAGCTGCCATCATGTCAGTGATTCTCTCGTTAAGACAGGTGTCAGTGTTGACTAGGGCAAGGCTGGAGACAACTTTGTCATGCTGATTGAGTTATAATAAACTGGAAGCTTTAAAAGGAGGTTACCTGCAAGGAAACACGTGCAGTCATCATTGCTTTGCACAAAAAGGGATTTGCAGGCAAGGATGTTGCTGCCACTAAAGGTGCCCATACACTGCTCGATTCTCGTACGAGAATGGCGGGAAATCCCGCGATCGTGCGAGAATCGAGCAGTGTGAACGAAGACATGCGACCGTTTCTACTGTACGGTCGCACGTCTTTTGTTGAAGCAGCATGCTGGAAAACCAGCCGAGAATCGTACGATTGTCGGCGGGTTTCTAGCCTGCTCGTTCGATAGCTGTGGAACGGGCCGGTGTGCGCACGCGCACACTGCCCGTTCTGCATTGCGGTCATCGGAAGGCTGCCCCTCAGCGGTACGATCTGCCCGTCCAAGGTGGGCAGATCGTACGAGCTTTCACTAAGCATACGACCATCGCAAGACAAAAGTCTTGTGATGGTCGTAAGGTGCCCATACACCTTACGATTATCCTACGATTTTCGTATGCGATCGACCTTTCGACTGACAGTACTGTACAATCGTACGACTTTTGATGGTCAAGCATGTTTGAAAACTTTGCTAGATCGTACAATTGTCGTAAGGTTGCTGGCGTTTCCGTCCGTCAAAAGTCCTACGATCTACACTGCGCTTGCGCTAACGAATAATACGGCAAATCAATTACCGCATTTCGTCCAGGTGCTTTTCGTTAATTACGGCTAAATTAATCTTGCGATAATCAGGGCAGGATGGGGCTGCCGTACGAAAATCGTACGACTATTCGATCATCGGATGAAAAGTTTCGTCCGATAATCGTAAGGTGTATGGGCACCTTTTAGATTTCACCTAAATCAACCATTTATCGGATCATCAAGAACTTCCAGGAGAGAGGTTCAATTGTTGCAAAGAAGGCTTCAGGGCGCCCATGAAAGTCCAGCAAGTGCCAGGACCGTCTCCTAAAGTTGATGCAGTGCCCCGATCCCGCATCTGAAACTGCAGAGCTTGCTCAGGAATGGCAGCAGGCAGGTGTGAGTGCATCTGCACGCAGTGAGGCGAAGCGTCCTCCCGTCACCCAAAGCTCAGTATACTGCAAGCTACAGCTCGCGGTATACTAGGACGCCGGAACGGATCCCGACAATTCTGTCAGGATCCACCCAGCTGCGTGAGTGGCAGCTGGCTCTGCCTATCTAGAGGCAGAGCCAGCTGTACCCTCCCCCGTCCGTTCCACCAGTCAGCACTGGAGGATTGGACAGAGGAGGGGGGGAATCCCTGCAGGGAGCTGTGAGTGACAGTCACGGCTCTCTGCACGGATAGATTGAGAAGTGAGCAAGCGCCGGTATGTGTTCGCTCACTTCCTGATCTATTGAGCTGACCTGTGACCGTTTTAATTGTCACAGGTCGGCTCAGTGAAAATCACTTGCCTCATAATTCTCCTTTAAGCACAAGAAAGCCCATAGGAAAGCATTGTGATGTCTTTTGACTGCAGCACTCAAAATAAACAGACTGCATATGGTGTGAACTGGCCCGTAGGCATACAGGCTGGTTCAGGGTCCGCCCTAACCTGTGACTAGACAATGGTGGTGCAACCTTCCACTATACCTCGCTTCCTCTATACGTTCATAGTTTAGCACTGTGGTAGACAAGAGCGTTCTGACTGGTTCCTAGTTCCCTTGTCACAGATCAGCTGCAGAGCTGATCTGTGCTTCACTGCTTTGCATTTGTTTTTTACCTTTTGTTGCTGTAGGTCTGCTGGCACTTGTGGCTCCACAAGCTTGTGCTCTGCTCTTGCTGCTCTGACGTAAGCTGGCCATACACCTTACAATTATCTGCAGATTTTCTATGGTCAGATGGAAAAGGTGCAACAGATTCCTCCATCTACGCTAAACTGTGTGAATGGAGTAATCTCCACCTGGGCCAATCTGTTGCACTTTTTCCATCTGACCACAGAAAATCTGCAGATACATTGTAAGGTGTGTGGGCACCTTTAGCAGCTATGGATGTCGCCTGCCTCACCTGATGGTTAATATACCTCCCTTCCTGCTACTTCCTGTCCAGCCTCCCAGGTGTCTCCCTATTTAAACCCCTCTCAGACCAGTTTCTGGTTGCTTGAGCAACACTTGTTCCTGAGCTCCTTCTGTGCATTTGTTCCTGACCTGATTTTCTGTGGATTGATCTCATGTACTGACTCGGCATGTTCTCCATTGTCTGCTGCCCGCCCTGACCTTTGGCTCATTATCTGGATCTCCTTTTGCTACATCCATCCATCCCTGCCTACATGTCTTTGTGTACCTGGGGGTCATGACCTGGGGTCAACACACAGCTAAGTCCAAACTTCTGTGAGGGGGTCCCTGGTGGAACACCGGATAACCCTTAGATTCCACGCCCTGGGGGATCCCATGCCGCCTGTGAGCTCACAACCCTAGTACTGTGACATCCCTCTCCCCACTTCCTGCACAAGATGCTTGCCTTCTGCAGTCCAAGGGAGCCACTTGATCTATACCAGTGGTTATCAACCTGTGGGTCGGGACCCCCTCGGGGGTCGAATGACAATTTGCCAGGGGTGCCTAGTGGCTCTCAGCCGCCGGGAGAGAAACACTTTCTCCCGGAAAAATCGGGGGCCCGCCACAAGTCTGAAAAAATTAAAAAAAACACCATAGGAATGCATAGCTAGATTACTATTGGCTATTTCACTTTGCAAAATCCAATAGCAAACTAGCTATTGCACCCGCCCTCTGATGCTGCCATTCAGCAGAGGAGGACCGGAAGTTC